GCGTAGGGCACCGAGTGGTAGAGAGAGAGAAGCGGGAGAAGCGGCTCGAATGGGGCGGCGGCGATCGGGTACGTCGCAAAGAGGAACCGCCCGTACTGGAGGCCGTTGAACAGCGGGAGGAAATACGACGCGGCGGAGATTAAGCGATCGGCGGCTGGGACGGGTGTGTGGGAGGAGGCGGAAGTCTTTGTGAGACAGCGGCGGCGAAGCGGCGGTGGTGGGAGGTTAGATCTGAATCGCCCGTACTGGAGGTCGTTGAGCAGCGGGAGGAAATTCGACCCGGCGGAGGTAAGGCGGTCGGCGGCGGGGATGGGTGTGTTGGCGGAGGAGAAGCCGCGAAGGGGCGGAGGTGGGAGGAGAACAGCGGCGGATCTGTGGTTGCGGTGGTGGAGAGGGATGGAGAGGCTGAGGAAAGGGATAGAGGAAGCCATAAGCAGTAATTAAAATGTAAAAGTCGAAATGCCCATTAATTTCTAAACACCAACTCAAACCCTAGTTTTGTGGCCCAATCTTCATTGGTTTCAAATGCGTTAGCCCAACAAGATAATAAGAACAAGTCACCCACGTTGTCCCTTTTAGCTATCAAATTTGGTTTAGCCCAAAACTTAATGTATATTCAAGATGTTTTAAAGCCCATATCGAATACTTGGCCAACAGATTTCAAAATTAGTCTTCCAAGTTTGGATCGTGTCAAAAAATAGTTTAGTTAAAATCCAAACAATTAATATTAGTATTGAAACTAATATTGAAATTTTTATAATAAAATTATTTTAAGGATAATTTTGGCTAGAAATTTTTAAAATCAATGATAATTTTTTATGGAAATATTATAATTTTGGTCCGAACATGTGATGGTATGCATACACACACGACAAGTTGATAAATAAATCAGATTTTCCATTTGAAATCTGCATGTCACGCGAACAAGTCCCATTACGTATTTATAATAATAAATGATCAAAATCCCTAATTATAACTTAGTTATAATAAAGCACCACCTATTAATTACTATTAGAAGAATATTATAAGTCCTAATATACGTATAATTTTCTTATAGAAAAACGATTAAAAAAACAAATAAAAGAAACAATATCTTCTTTTTGGATAACGCAATTACATAAAATAAATTGCCAAAAATAGTAGTATATTTATTATGCTCATAAAACAACTTGGACAAGTTGCATAAGTTTTATTTATTTTTATTTTTTTCAAAACGATAGAAATTATAAAAGAATGAAAAAGGTTTTAGGCCGAGCCTATACAGACCGAGGAGTGAACTCCAAATAGAACAAGAGAAAGGTTCCACTCCCGGCAAAGGTAAACTTTAAAACCCGCAAGCGTCGCCAAACTCCCACCTAACATATTACAAAATTTTAACTAGCAAAGGAAATATAAAGGGCGGTTTTTGCGGCGGCCATTGGCTGCGCCGCCGCCATATAACACCACTTTTTTTTTTTTTAAAAAAAAAAGAATATATATATTGTTTAGTGTTTTATTATTTAAACACACTTCTTTTTATTCACGCTTTGTTTATGCATGTAATGTGAGATTAATTCTAAATTGTTACGTCCCTTTCTAATAGCAACATATCAACGGAAAATGCTCTAATTAGGGAAATTAGTTAGATTTGAGATTTTACTTTTCTAAAGAAAGTTATTTAATGTTGCAGAAAAACAGGAACTAATGTTTATCCATCTTTTCATTTTTAATATCTTTAACTAGTACAACACCCGTGTATTACACGGGTGCTTGCTAATTTTTTTTTTTTTTTTTAAATCTAAAATTAATGAGAAAAAATTAGTTGGAATTTTAAATATATTTTACAAAAATATATATATTATTATATATTTAGTATGACACTTTTTATTTGTGCGACTTATTTGTGTCATATTATATTAATTTTTAACTTACAAAATATTACTACATTAAAAATAAATATATCAATTGATAAATAATTTTACTTTTCTAATGAATTTTAATAAATATTATTATTTTTTTATTATTATAAAGATAAATATAATTTATTTATTTCATATATACAATATAGATGTCAAATCGAAGATCATCAAAAGATGATTAATTTGATATATAATATATGTAAAACCGATAAAAAATACAAAAGTTATCAACTTTTAAATACTTTTACAATTTAATAGCTAATTGAAGGAAACAAATCAAAGTCAGGGATATATTAGTCACTTAGTGCCTCACTATGTAAAATTACAAATAATTAAAGGGTTATATTAGTACAAGTGATATTAAAATACCTAAGTTAGATAAATAATATTTATGGAATGTCCGAACCTATATTATTAATTATTAATATATCAATATTATTTGTCCAAACCTAATTACGAAACATGATTCTTCGCCAAGTAGGATTACGAAGCACCAAAATCAGCCACGTAGGCTCAGCGCATTCGGGAATTATATATAGGGAGGAATAGTAAAAAATAAAAAAATAAATCGGATAAGGTCATATTTGGTAATATAGGGTGTGTATATTATCTTCATCATAACTTTAAATGATTTGGCACTTGGTTTGTTTGCAGTGAGCCGATCTAAAGCTTGTTTATGACTCGTTTTCGCTAATAAGCATCGAGGCTCGGTAGTGTTGATAAACATGAGTTTTTTTTAACATAATTTATGGACTTTTAACAAAATTCACCTCGTTAAGGTGCCGAACTCAAACTCGTTTATTAGCTCGAGAAAAATCGATTGGATTTTGATATCAAATTCTTATGAAAAATCTTATGGATTAATTAACTAATTAATCATGCAGCTGGTCAAAGACAGAGATTATTAGACAAGGAATTTATAATGAACACTCCACGCATAAACAAAAAAAAATTGAGATATATAATTATTATCAATAACACTAAATTATTAGCTGAGGCAATTAATTAGTCTAAAAATCTAATTGTTGTACACTTGTCATTAATTGCTTGAGTGACACGTGGAATTAGACATGTTTTTGTGTCCACGAAATACATTAGCAAAAACATGGGATTTGTGATTTTTGATTTTGTCCTTTGTCGTTGTTGTGTGTTTTTAATAATGAGTTGTTTATTTGCCAACGTTGTTGTTGTTGTGTGTTGTTGGGAGACTCACTCACCACTGTCAGGTGTACGACTTGGATCGACCAACGGATTAGTCGGAGCATAGCTCCAGATACCGTGGCTGGCTAAAAAAAAAATAATGAGTTGTTTATTTGCCAAACCTCTTCGTGCTCAGATTTTTCGGCTCATAATATATGTAGTATTAGTTATTCTATAATATTATAGCGTTACGTTTTAGAGAACAGTAGCATCCAATAATAATAATAATAATAATAATAATAATAATAATAATAATAATAATAATAATAATAATAATATGTGTTGGTCAAAATGACTTATTTTTTTTTTTAATTTTTATTTTCCCTTGGAGTATAAGGTTCTTTTATTGTTGTGTTTTTGTGACCATATATATTTCATATTGTTTTTTATGAACTCAATTCCAAACTGCTAGGCCTAATTAAAACTGAAAATCCCGGATTTATATTTTTGTCCACATAAAATAATCTAAAAAATGGACTGAAAATGAACAAATACAAAAAAAGTTTTATGTCATGCATGTATGTATCTAAATCATTGGAAATCTTTTCATAATCAATCTGCAATCAATGTGTTTTGCAAGTTATTACAAAGCTCAATCTCTCCTTACCACCCACAGCCACAAGGATGGACTTGTAACAATGTAACATAGTCA